AGTCTGGGTACATTATCGATCCACCTGGAAGTCTATAAGAGGCATTCCTCACATTTGGATTCTGTAAAGCACTGTACAGGTTCGGAGAAGTTTGCTGTAAATGAGAGTCTGGGTACATTATCGATCCATCTGGAAGTCTATAAGAGGCATTTCTTATGTTTTGGTTCTGCAAAGCATTTGAGAGGTTTGGTGAGAAGGATTGTTGCTGTCGTGGGTCTACTATGGACCCAGCAGGAAGTCTATATGCTGCATTCTGAAGCTGAGGATTTCCAATTGCATCTGCAAGCATTGGAGAAGAGTGTACATTTGCTACCTGATTACCATATACTACTGACCCATCAGGCAAGCGATAAGTGGCACCACGGAGTTGGGGGTTGTGCAATGCATCAGACAGAAAAGGAGATTTCCTAGGATCCTGCCTATATCCTGACACAGTTGTATAAGGGGAGACCATTCCCTGGACAGGTGCTCGGTATGATGCATTACGGACATTTTGGTTCTGCAAAGCCGTTGAAAGAACTGGAGATCCCCTTGGACCATAGCCAGGGGGAACACGGGATCCCCTGCGATGTAAATGTGTTCTGTAAGAAGCATTGCGGACATTTGGATTTTGAAGAGCATTGGAAAGAAGGGGGGCAGCACCTGGCTCTTCAATGTAATCATAGCCTGTCTCTCCCTGAGTATAGGGTGAATGTGGCCTTTGAAGAGGTGATTGGTATGAAGCATTGCGAAGCTGTGGATTGTGAATTGCACTGGAGAGAAAAGGTGATGCTGGCTGACCTGGAACTTGTTCAAATGCTTCCATTTGAGGAACATACGGGGAAGAAATAGGTAGTTGTTCAGGGATCTCACCAAACTGAGCCACTTCAGGAAGATAAGGTGAACCTGGTCTTTGCATGGGTGAAATGTAAGAAGCTTCTCGGAGCTGAGCATTTTGTAAGGCATTTGACAAAAGTGGAGACGCCATCTGTTCTGTATGCTGATCCAGTACCACCATTTCAGGATTATATGGTGAGGGTACTGGTTGCAATTGGGAGACATGCATAGCATTGTTTAGATTAGGGGGTTGCAGGGCAAGGGAGGGAACTGGTGAAGGTGGTTGACCAGGAACCTGTGGAACATTAATGATCTCAAGAGCATAAGGCGACATGGGCTGTTGGATGGGTGAAATATAGGATGCATTACTGACACTTTGGTTTCGGAGGACACTTGTAAGCATTGGTGATTGAGGAACACCACTAATCTGATCAAATTCTACAGGGATTGGCTCTGCGCCGATAGGCAAAGGAGATGCAAATGAAGATCCATACATCGGAGGACCAGAAAGCACAGAAGTAGGCAGAGCCCTTGGGGAAGTGGGACGCATAGGTAATGGGTAGCCATGTTTAATAGATGGATGAGGAGAGCCTGGTCTGGAGAGATGTCTAATAGAAGGCTGAGGTGATGGAGGGTGCATATGTTTTTGAGAAAGTTGTGGTGAAGGGGGCATCATGCCAGGTGCACGCCTCAGTGACTGTCCGGCCATGAGTGGACGGCCACGACCAATGGGTCTCTGTGGGTTTCTCATTGGACCAGGTGTTCCTGGAGGATTGAAACGACTTTGTTCCCTTATGCCCATCCCAGTGTGTTGACCTGAGAGTTGTGGGGAGGCTGTGAAATCCTGTGGCATCATGGACCTGTTACTACGTATGGATGGTCTAAATGGACGTACATTTTGTGTTGGAGTTCCAGAATGACCTCCTTGGCCAGGATATGGTTTCACAGCTCCCATGGGGATGTTTGGACGGCCCCTTCCTCGTAGTCGACCTCCAGGGGACCCAAAAGGTGGAGAATCCTTCATAAGGCGAGTGGACCTGCGGGAAAGGGTAGGAGAGGGGGATCTACGTTGCAGTGGTGGTTGTTGGGAGTCTTGTTCCACAGTAAAACTTCTTCTAGAGGGAGTAGGAGATACTCTTTGAGGCATTAATGGAGACAGTGGTCTGTGAAGTTCCCTCTGCTGAACATTGGCCATGGTTCGCATACCCATCTGAGGGGAAGATGGAGGACTCATCCGCCTAAGTGGAGATGGGGAGGCTTGAAATTTCTTGACACCAAATGGACGATGAACTTGTGAGGGTGAGGAGGGTGGACTGGGTCTCCTAATTGAGGCACGAGGAGACTGTGGTGGGCTCCTCCGCCAGATAGATGCACGAGGTGAAGCTGGAGGACTGGTATAGAGAGATGGAGCTCGTGAGGGCAAACGGCCAGGCATTGGCTGGGGAGATGGTGGTGCCTCTCTAAAGGATGCCTGAGGCTGCAAGCGTCTAGGGACTGTTGGTGAAGCAGGTGGACCTTCTCTAAATGGAACCTGGGGCTGCAAACGTCTAGGGACTGTTGGTGAAGCGGGTGGCCCTTCTCTAAATGAAGCCTGAGGCTGAAAACGTCTAGAAAGTGTTGGAGAAACAGGTGGGCTCATTTTGCGTCCAATTGGAGATGGAGGGTGTTGAAAATGACTTATTGGAGAGGACATACCTCTGGCTAGTCTTGGGGATGGAGGTGCTCCCATGCCTCCAATGCCACGCAGAGAGGGCTGTGGGGATGGGCTTCTTCTCATAGGGAGTGGAGCAGCAGGATACATGGATAGCTGCGGGGAGGCATGGGGGCTCGGTCTGCGTATAGGTACGGGGGAACGTCTAACTTCCATTACCGGCTCTCCAAAACTTGACATAGGTTCCATGGGTACCATGGGTGACATAGGCTTATGCAGAGGGGAGACCATACCTGGCATAGACCTCCTGCTTGGTGTGGGAGATGGTGGAAATCCACCAGCTTGAGCCATATGTGACATATGTTGATTGACAAATCCCTGGGGATTATTCGCTTGCTTAATTAGCATGGCTGTTGGTGTGGGCACTTGAGGCATTGTGGGATGAAACATTTCTTGAGGATGAACTATCTGCGAAAAACCATCATCCATTGAGGCTCCAGGTATATATGGATAATTTTCATATTGTATGTCTGACATTTCCTCAAAATCATATTGTGGAGGCAAAGGAGGAAGCTCAACATCAATCCTTTCTTTACCAAAAAGCTTGACCTGGGGTCTTGGGAGTCTGAACTCCATGTCTCCGTGAAGGGGCATAGATTCCATCGAGAAATCTCCATAGTTCTCACCGTACATTCCATAAGCTTCTTCACCTTCCATAATATATTGCATTGGATAACTATATGGATCATACATATTGTAGGAAGATTGCAGATATGGGTCAACATCTGTTTCACTGTAGTTAACCTGATAGTCCTGAAAATAAAGATCCTCATAAGCATCCCCATAAGCATCCATATATGGATCATCTGAAATTTCAACTTCATATGGGTCACTATAGAAGCCCTGAGGGTCATCATAATATTCAAACTGAGTCTGGGCATATGGATTAATTTCATTCCCATATAGATCATAGCTGTTCCCCACTGGATACTGATTATCATCATAGTACTCCATGCCATCATCGAAATAAGGATCCAGTGGATACTGTTGACTATAATAGCCCATTTCCTGTGGGTAATTGCCCATCTGCTCCTGACCTCCATAAGGATCAGCGTAGTCCATACCATCATCATAATATTCACCCTCATCCTGAATGGCTGCATGTGGGTCATAGTATCCATCCTGCAAATCATAATAGCCTTGATCATGTGATTGCATGTCATAATAGTTATTTGGTTCTTCATATTGAGTGTATTGCTGTGGAAATGAAGAATGTCCCTGAACATGGGCATACTGTTCATTATACCTGTTAGTGCGCCTCTGGATTGACTGTCTGTGGAATGCACCCCTATCCATCCTGCTCTGGTTATTATAATCATATGCTCCAGTGTCATGTTCATATCCATAATTGTGATAACCTGAAGGAGCTCGGATGCTGGCTTGGTGACTGCCAGCAGGAAATGGATATTTTTTGTTGTTTTTCTGGCCCCAGGCATCACGGTCCCTTCCACTCTGACGCCCCTTAATGGAGATGAACCTCTTGGTCAGCCAGTTTGTTGCCCCAGCAATCTTACCTAATAATTGCCCCCTATATTTAAAACCAGTCCCATCCCCTGAATTCTTTTTTCCGAAAAGCCCTTTAAAAAATCCTGGCTTCTTCTCCGGTTGTTTAGAATTTCCACCTAATTTGATAAGCATATAGCTTGGCTTTGGTCCTGACGGCTCTTTTTTTCCCTTCTCTTTTTTCTTTTTCTTGCTGTTTTTGAAACGCATCATGAACTTTGGAGCATTTCTCAAGAGAGATTTTCTCCTTTTTTTCTTAAGCAAGCGATTCTTCCTTTTGCCAAGTCCAAGAAACAGCTTGGAAGTGCTCTTAAGACGCTTCTTTGAGCGCTTCCTCTTCTTAAATCCAGAGAACCTCATAAAGAGTTTTGAGGTGTTTTTGAGTCCTCTTTTCTTTTTGTCTTCAGGTGGTGGCTCAGGTGGAGACTCTTCCTTCTTTTTTGCTTTCTTCTTCTTTCCATCTTCCTCAGCTTTAGATTTATGATGATCTTTTGATTTCTTCTTTGCTTTCTTATCCTCCCCTTCACTTTCCTCCTCATCTTCATCGTCCTCATCTTCATCATCCTCATCTTCATCAGAATCAGGCTGTCTAGATTTGGACTTTCCCTTTGCAGCTTTACCTTTAGCATCTTTTCCACCACGCTTTCTCTTGTCTCCATCTGACTCTTCATCCTCATCCTCATCCTCATCCTCATCGCTCAAGTCTTCATCCATCAACTCAGCCTCTGAATCCTCAGATTCAATAATCTCTTTCTTTCCCTTCCCTTTATCCTTTCCCTTCTTACCATCATCTTTCCCTTTAGTTTTGGGTGGCTCTTCTTTTCCTTTCTTTTTGTCATCTTTTCCTGCCTTTTTGTCATCTTTCCCACCCTTCTTGACATCTTTTCCTTTCTTTTCTTCTTCCTTTGGTTTACTTTTCTCTGGCTCTGGTTTTCCTCCTTTCTTGGCTACTGCTTTTAAATCTTTTTTGCCTGGCATTTTATCCTTCTAAAACCATGCTAGTCTACTGCCTTTCTGTCAAAAGACAAATAAAAATATAATTAAACAGAATCTCAATGAACACACACACACACACACACACACACA